CCCCCCCCCCCCCCGACACACACGCACACTTGTGAAACCGTAGCCTGGGCCGGCGAAAACCCGGCATATCGCTCCGTCCCGGTATGCGATGTCAGTGGTCAAACGACTTCGGCAAGCGTTAACATGAGGACACAACACACGGAATAACCGCGTACCCCCCGAACAAAAACCCTTGAGTTGTAGTGACGTCGTCGACTTATCTTCGTGTTGACGAACGGGTTTGGCAGGGGTGTATTTGCATGTGGGGATGCACCCCCCCCCCCCTCTAATGATGTTTCGTTTGTTCGGGGCACCATGGCAGTGCCTCTCTTCAAGAAACGGTGTCCTCAAAAGCGGGGACGAATTACGCGGTTGTTGTTTCTTGCAGGCAACGTACTTGGTGGACTGCATCACGGACAAGTCGAAGAACAACAATATCTTCAACATCGGGGGTCCGGACGACGGTCTTACGATGACCGCTCAGGGGAAGCTGGTGAGACCCCCCCACCACCAGAAGCGGCGAACCGAATGCAGGGGTACCTGTGAATATCGGAAATGCCCTCCGCGGTGCCCCCCAACAGTCCATATCGTGTCGTTGAAACGGGGGGTAATTTTCTCTATCCCATCGTGTGGCACAGAGCCTGGTCGGGTGAGAACCCGGCGTGCTCCGTCCCGGCTTTGTAGGGATGCGAGGTCAATGGTCTAACGACTGCGGCATGCACGGCTGTAGTCAGAGCGAGGGGTCAAGCGGTATGGTGTGAGGGGAACTTTGTCCCCCGTGGCGTGGGAAAGCTAAAGCTTTTTGTCTGAAAGAGAGGGTCGAGCAGCAATGTTGATGATCCACGGCCACACCAAACAAGTATTGCGAACCGAAGTGAGACGCAGCTGTCTTCTCTCCGGCACTACTTGGCGGTGTGGGGATATCGTACAGTTCAAAGGTGGTGTTTGGTCTTTGAGGCGTCCAAAGGAAGGGAAAAGGTCATGACGAAACCTGTGAGTCGTCGCCACGCAAGATACCACTCGGGTCGGCAGGCGGAATTTCGTCGAGTTGCCACAACCTTGGTCGTCTTGCCCCCATAGCCGACCATGCTTTCAGGTCTTGTCGTTTTTGTTTTCGACCCAGATTGGGGCCATGTTTTTGGCAGGACGAGACAGAATAATTGTGTTTTTCTACACATTTTGTTTTTTTTCTTTCGATGTTTGTTGAAACTTGAAAGTTCCCGCTGCTGCTGGTCGTTTTATTTTTTGTTCATGCACTTGTGTGTTTTTGATTGTCGTTTTTTGTGCCTTCATCATTTATATCTTTGGCCTCTTCTCACCAAATATTTTCAACAATCTCCCATTTCCCCCTCTCTATTTCGATGCAGCACGGGGTAGCACAGCGAAGGTCGATGAATGCGCCATATCCCCTTGTTCCAACTTGTCACCGCCGTCTGTAGCCCCTTCCGGGCTGGATAGCACCGAACTACGAACCGACGGAACCCCTGGCCTTCGTCATCGTCCGCCGTCCGCCGTCCGCCGTCCGCCCCCCCCCCCCCCCCCCCCCNNNCCCCCCCCCTCGTGCCAACCACACGTTTCGTTACCCAATAATATCGCAGCTCTTCGAAGCCGTGGGCAAGGAACCCAAGATTCTCAAGGTGCCCGTCCTCCTGTTCGACGTGATCATCGGGGCGTTGGATTTGTTGGCCGGCATCTTGCCGAAGCAATTCGAGGACCCCGCGGAGCTGGCCAAGATCGGAAAGTACTACGCCGTGGAGGACATGCTCACGGTCGACCCTTCGGAAAAGGCGAGTTTGTCGTGGACTGTTGTTTTGGTTGTTTGGTCTCATCATCATCGTTGAACGGATGTATCGGCTTTTGTTTTCAGCTCGTGTGTGTGTCTATGCTTTTTCTTTCTGTAGGCAAGCACTACGCCGTGCAGGGCATGCTCATGGTCGACCCTTCGGAAAATGGCGAGCACTGTGGTTTCGTGGAATGCTGGGTTCTCTTGTCACATGATCGTTGTGTGTCGGGGCCCCGTGTGATCCAGAATTTGTTCTGAGGAAATGGGTAATTTCCGTTTCTTGTTCATTTTGTATCCGTTGGTTTGGGTTAGGGCATATTCAATCGGTAGAAGAGATGTTGGCGACAAACGTGCGTTAAACCTCACCGCTAAGGTAGCGCTGCGGAAGCCTGCCTTTTGGATCTTCACCATGGTGCCGAACCCCGGAGAGGTAGATTGATCCCGCGCTGCTATCATCTGAAGCGCCCACGAAGATGAATTGTTTTTGATCCGGGTGTGCCTGTTTGTCCTTGTCTGCTTTTGGGGGTCTCTTTTCGTTTTCCGCCTTACGGTCACAATTTGGGAACACTACAGGCTAATAGCTGTCCGCTGAAGACGAAGAGATTATTTGCTAGGTTCGGAAGTGGCCTGTTTGTTCTTGTCCGCTTTGGAATCTCACGCTGCTGCTACCGCTGTCATCTCTCTACTATGTAAACCGTCGCAGTTCGGGACGGTTACCCTGGGACAACACTACAAGCGGATCGCGGTGGAGGGCAACGACTACGACCCCTACACGACGCTCTTCGCGGGGAAGAAGAACCCCACCAGCGTCATCGCCAGCCTGGTGGGCACCGGTGTCGATGTCGAGGAAGAGCAGCCCGTTGCCAAGTGAGGGGGTTTCCGCTCGCGTGCGTGCGTGCGAGGCGTGTTTTGATGCCGCCACGACCGCTCAATCCGGACTCCACAGAAAGAAAGCGTTCCAGGAAGGTGAACGGGGGCCCCGCGGGACATGTTTTTTTTGGGGGGGGGAGCAAGGATAAGGACCTGTTGTCATGTGAGAAGCAGAATTTTGGCTCGAGTTTGTTTCGCCTGTGCCGTTTCGGGCAGGCATTATCTTTGAAGGGGCACATGAGACAGCGTTCCGGCCGCACCCTTCACTTGCGGTTCAGATTTTTCTGAAGCCTGTCATTCTTTTTTTTTTTCGGTGGCAGTTTTTCTCGTTGACCACGATTTTGCTTTACCCGTGCGGTGTACGACGCATTTCCCCTAGTAGGCAGAAGACAGGGTAAGACAGGTAGTAGCCGGTGCTGGCGTTGGTATCGATGCTGGACCAGCAGCAGTGCAATAGAAGAAGCAATCCCTTGGGCAGAGGATAAGGCAGGAGGCAGTGCAGGCATGGCTGGTGTTGGTATTGGTGCCGTGTACCAGCATCAGTCCCGTATAAGGCACATTTTCCGTAAGCAAAGGATATAGGGTGAGAGGTAGGTGTTAGTATCGATGCTGTATTCCAGCGGCAGTGCCGTGTCTCCCTTAGGCAAAAGGATAGGGTGAGGGGTAGTGGTAGTGGGCGTTGCTGGTGTTGGTTTCGATGCGAGATGTACATGCGGTGTCCCGGTCGATTGCTCGACGGGGAGCGCCAAGGCGAAAACATGAAACCGTCGGTATACTCTGTCGACTGCACCTTAGATGGCGGTTGGCCGGCTCGGGTTGTGGCTGGCCCTTGAGCGGCGCGATTATTTCGGGCGCGTTTTCTTTGGCCTCCTATTTCGGCGCGAATGAAATTCGGTTTACCTAGACTGCTGTACAGCAGTACTAGTGTCGCGGAAACAGCACCTTGTTTTGTAAATTTTCTTGCGAAAGGATCACGAGTTCACCTTCTCTTGTTCCTGTCTTGACATTAGACTACTATTGTATGAACGTCTTGTTCTCGCGATGGTTATTTGTTAAGCGTGTTCCATCGAGTGCGAACAATATCTACGGTGGCGTCTGCAGCAGTACTTGTTTGTCGCGTATCTCTGAGTTGTGCAGAGCGAGTCGCCAATCACTCACCACTACTGTATGTGGATGACTTTCGTGGTGCGGTTTACCGAGAAACACCACACTATCAGAATTGTGGTGCTGCTGTTGACACTGGCAGAGTTGGCGTCCTCTGTCTCAGGCACCCGCTGATGGCCGAGGACAAGGTTTTTGACCAGCCAAACCACCCTCCCTCACTTGTCGTCAATATGGGGCAGCAAGCATCTAGAGTGCTCTGAATCATCACCACATCATCCATCACCAGTGTCCCCTGCCGCGACTCGCCGCACTCAAAAGAGAGGGGCCCCGCCACATCATAGAGAGGCATGGGACGCCGAGTAGAGGCACCTGACTCACCGGGTTTCACACGCACGCCAGACCGCCGGTCAGGGTCGTTGCACTTTAACCTGAGGGTGGAGCGGTGGATTGCGACGCACTACGCAAGCTTATCCTCAAGCAACTACAGGACTCGACGTGGAGTATGACCGGACGGCAGGACAATTTGGGTTTTGCATCACTTGATACCATCCCCATCAAACCGTTGAACCACGTCAACCACCACCACCACAGTAATTTATCCAGAAAATATCTGCTCTAGGTCGGTTGTGTTAATTTGGCAGCCTCGAGAAGAAGTGGTTTCAACGGAAGCTAATCGCCCTTTTTCTGGACATGAAAAAGGAGCGGCACGTGCACAGATAGATCTGAATGAAGCGATTTCATCATCGTACAATCCAGCTAGTAAACTCAAGCGCCTTCACTCGCCGGGTTTCTCGAGACCGCGTTTGTTTCGCCGCTTTGGCGATGGACGCTTGCGACCAGCAGAGATACAAGAGCCGCCGCAGGGTTGTTTTCAACGTTTGTTCCCGTCAGGCCGCACGGCAAGAGCAACAGAGGTGAAGGCATTTACCGGGGACACAAATACACATTCATTCGCACACACAAGATTTCTGTCTCAAATGCGGAAAACAGCTTACGCCTCCCCCGTGACGCCCCCTAACGGGGTTCCAAGCTAAACTTATTTGGAAGCGGGTTCGTGTTTTCAACCGCACTTGAGACTGACGTCTTTTCATTGGTCAGCCTGTTAGCGCGGTCGGTGCAAATACTCCAGACCCGCAGAACACAAGAACGTCAGGCACGTCGTTTGTGAACTGCTTTGGTCCTCTGAAACCGACTTGGTTTCATGTTACGGAAGTCTACCTCCTCGTATACGATACCGGGGGGTCATCCTTGAAACTGATGTTGATTTCTTGTGAATGAATGTGATCCGAGACCATCGTCTTCCCTTTTCCTTAACAAACGCCCGTAAGCAACTAACTCAATTTACTTGGACGTCGAACGGGATTCAACACAACAACCCATATGCAGGCACGCCGGCTTAGTCCTTCTCGCAACCAAGCATTCGGAGTCGCGAAGAATGATGAGTCTTTTCGCTACACCAGCAGGCAGACCATCGAAAGATAAAACACCGCCGCGCCAAGAGGACGAAACCAATCGCACACACCTCGCGCGGCGTTCAGAGCAATCCCTGCTAGACACACGAAAATACGAAACTCTTGCCGCCCGGAGAGAGGAAAAATACACCCGATCCCGCTCTTGGAACAACAAAGCCAGCCCCGTTTCATCACAAACATGAACACGATAGGCAGGACATTTTTGCTCAGAAGCCAACAGGAACAAGACAAAGCAGGCAAAACACAGAAAGCGCCCCCGGGCTGGATGGAGTTAGCGCTCTTTTCAAAGGATGATGTCAAACCCTCTCTCTCCCCCTCTGAATGAAACACTACATCGCGCGAGAAGCACACACGACAATCACAAAAAAATCGACACACGAAAAACAGCCGCGATGGTAAAATAACCCGGCAACTTGCGATACGCCCCTGTCTCGTCAGGGATCGGAGCACCACAGGCGTTTGTTTCGCCCACCCGGGATAACTTGACTCACATGGAGTGCCGCTGCGCAGAAAAAAGCGCACGACAGCCACCGCATCGCATCTATTTTTGCACGCCATATAAAAGTGCTTGCTGTGCCTACCCCACCCCCCCCCTCGGAGCAACACAAGGGTTCAAAAGCCAAACGTTTTACGCTCGCTCCCCAGTTTTGCTTGGAGTTACGAAGTTTGTATTTACAGCAGAGCTCATCGAGAGTGCTACCCACCCTCCCCTCACGGAATGAATCCCGATGATGCCACAGAGAGTGAGCGGTAAGAGGAGCTGACGGCAGTCCCTGCTGCCACCCCCCCCCCCAGAGCTGGAACGGTACACCACCGGCAACGCTGAGCCTCGGTCTACGGGATCATGGTAGCCTAGACGGCTCTCCCCTTATTCTTGCCCTTGTGCGCAGAGGCGACTTTTAGGAGGTTGTCGTCTGAAACGATGATCGGACAAAAAAGTACAGAAGAAGGACGCAGAAGAGGCGTGAGACAAGCTTGTGAGGAGGCGTCGATAGAGATCACGCCGTGCATCGCTCNGAGCTGGAACGGTACACCACCGGCAACGCTGAGCCTCGGTCTACGGGATCATGGTAGCCTAGACGGCTCTCCCCTTATTCTTGCCCTTGTGCGCAGAGGCGACTTTTAGGAGGTTGTCGTCTGAAACGATGATCGGACAAAAAAGTACAGAAGAAGGACGCAGAAGAGGCGTGAGACAAGCTTGTGAGGAGGCGTCGATAGAGATCACGCCGTGCATCGCTCTGGAGTTTACCTTGTCTCATAATTAACTTCGTAGTGCTGGGGCAGAAGCGAGGGAGTGAAACAACAGAAGATGAGGCCACAGTGTTGCACAACAAAGCGCCACAAGGATCGGTGTGAGTATGTGGAGAAACCATCGGTAGTGGAGAGGTGGGTCAAAAGGAGACGGTTTGATCACCTCCTTCCGCACGGACGAAAAAGAAAACACTGTAAACGTTTTTCTCAACATCTTTTCTGGACATCGTTGGGGTGGAAAAAAAAAGAAGTTGAGCCGCACGTCTTCGAAAATTACACCAGGTACGGTACTTACGTGCTCCCAAACGTAACAGTGCGAAAACTCAGGCTTCACGACAAGTATTAGGCCTGGCCGCTCGGCGCCATGAAAAGGAGCAAGACGAATGCAAACAACCGCAGCCGCCCTACTCGCTCCCCCCCTCCCCCGTGCCCCATCAGCTTCCGGTTCACCCTTGTGATATGTAGCCTGAACCGGCCTTATCGCTTCGTCCAGGAGTTGTGGGGATGCGAGGACTACGGTCTACCGAGTACGGCAGCGTCTACGTGAGTACCCACCCCCCCCTCCCGCTCGTGCGATGAACCCACCTTGACGATCATGCCGGTGACAACGTAGGGGTCCATGTTGGACGAAGGCCTGCGGTCCTCGAAGTATCCCTTTTGCTCCTTCTCCACGTCGCGGCCAATGCGGATGGACGCCCCGCGGTTGGCGACGCCGTACGAGAACTTGTCCATCGACGCGGTCTCGTGCTTCCCGGTCAAGCGGCGCTCGTTACCCTGTCATCACCGTGTCGTACGTTGGGCGTGTTGTTGACGTTATTGTTTTGTTGTGGCACACGACGCTTGGTACTCTGTCGACATTGTTGTCATTCGTTGGTGACGGTTTTGCTCCCTCTTGGAGCCGTGGGGGGTACTCTTGAAGCAGGCGGACAGTTCTTGAAGCAACGGGGACGAACAACCCTTGCATNCCCGGTCAAGCGGCGCTCGTTACCCTGTCATCACCGTGTCGTACGTTGGGCGTGTTGTTGACGTTATTGTTTTGTTGTGGCACACGACGCTTGGTACTCTGTCGACATTGTTGTCATTCGTTGGTGACGGTTTTGCTCCCTCTTGGAGCCGTGGGGGGTACTCTTGAAGCAGGCGGACAGTTCTTGAAGCAACGGGGACGAACAACCCTTGCATAAACCTCCCGGGAAGAACCCCCAAAACGAGAGCATAAACAACAAGAAAAAGCAACAACGCAAGCTGTACACTCCACACGCTAAACTCCACACGCCGTCTCAAGAGGTCGACAGATAATGAAACGCCCGCACAAAGACGAGGGAAAGAATACCGCCAGGGGCAGCGAGCGGGCGATACAGCCTCGAGACCGCAAACAGAATTATAAACAGCACGCATACACACAAAAAAATAGTACTCACCTCGCCGTAGGCAGCGATGTGCTCGTCGTGCTTCTCGCCGAGCTTCTCGATGGCCGCGATGATCTCCTTGTAGCCACCCTCCTCGCGCATGGGCTTGGTGGAGTAGTTGGTGTGGCACCCGGCCCCGTTCCAGTCTCCCGGAATGGGCTTGGGGTCGAGAGACACGATCACGCCGAACTGCTCGCACACGCGCTGGAGCAGGTAGCGGGAGATCCACAGCTCGTCTCCAGAGGAGATGCCCTCGCAGGGGCCCACCTGAGAATAGTCACGGCGAGTGGGACGGGGAGGTTGTGAGCTGGAATCAAGAATAGGAGGCAACGCATCAAGGAGGGCAGGAGACGACACTGCGTAAATGGTTGGAACACAGCTTGTCTGGGGAGGCGACGTCTTCGTAAGGGCCCACCTCTCGAAGCATTACTCATAGAATTAGGCTTGCCGATCCCGGGCACATACACGAACTAGCCTCGCCTATAGCCAGGATGCTAGCCAGGATGCAACCTTTTACCATACGCTGATACCACCGGGGGGGGCGGGGGTCACCTGGTACTCCCACTGTCCGGGCATGACCTCCCCGTTGGTTCCCGAGATGGTGACACCGGCGTAGAGGCAGGCCTTGTAGTGCGCCTCCATGATGTGGCGGCCGAAGGCGTTCTCGTACCCGATGGAGCAGTAGTACGGGCCCTGGGGTCCCGGGTATCCGCTCTTAGGCCATCCGAAGGGAGTGACGCCGTCTGCCTCGAACAGGGTGTACTCCTGCTCGATACCGAACCACGGCACCAGGTCCTTTGCCTGCGAAATTCAAGTGGTGGTCGTATCCAAGGCGGTTGCGACGAGTTTGTTGAAAAGGCGGGAGAGGATGTACTGACTCCTTCAAAGAGAGCTTAGGCTTAAGGTTAGGGTACCCGAACCCGGGTACTACTTACTGCTGTGGTGTCTGCCGGGAGGTGGCGTCGAATGAAGCACTTGAATAATCATGCCCTGCCATAGTGCACGTACGTCGCCAAATGGAAAAGGGGATACCGTAAGAGTCGGAGAGATGGCATGCCCGTGTTCGCGTTTTCTTCATAGCGTATTTCTCCACACCTAGGACGGTACATACACCAACCGATACCTCAGAGGAAATTCCTTGAGAATTCCAAAACTACGACCATTTTCGGCAGTGGTACGTCCATGGGTGTGGAGAAAACGCTATTGAAAAAATGTTACTTGAACGCTGGGGTGCCATCTCTCCGAATTTACGGTATACCAGGTATTCAAGATATGTGGCGAGGGCGCCATCCATTGGCGTAAAAATTATTTTCACCCAGCGACAAATTGTCACAAAGCTCACCTTCTCCATGATAGCGGCGCACTCCTTGCGGGTGTTGGTAGGGAGCGGGGTCCCGTTCGGCTCGTAGGTGTCGCACAGCACCATGATGTTGTCGCCTCCGCGGAAGGGGTCGGGGTAGATGGCCTGGGGGTAGATGATCACCTCGGAGTCCTCTCCGGGCGCCTGGCCGGTGGAGGAGCCGTCGTAGTTCCACTTGGGCCTGACATTTCATTTGCGGTTGAAGAAGTGAAGAATAGCAACAAGAGTGAATCCACAAATTTGGGGCTTGAGATTTTACTCGCGGTCGTAAAAAAAACGGTTGAGAGACCGAGGAGCCTACTTTCGGCATGGTGTATGCTGATTGGCATGATAGACTAATGGCTGAATCGGTTTTCGCTTCACGCTTATTAGAGTCTTTTCCGTCACCGATACTCTGGCCAAAGGAACACCCCAGGACTCTAAGTTCGTAACCTTATGCAAGCTGAAAATACCAACCGACGATGCAGTGTTGACGAGTTGCAATCGCTCCCAAAAGCAACGAATCTATGCATACAACCGGCGCACTCTGTCTTGTTTCGCGAACTTTCGCTGGAGGCAAGATCAACTTGCTGTTTCCTCTACAAAATGTCTGTCTTGGCACGAGAGAAATGTATTACCATCAGTCTGTTCCGACCACCCCTCAAAGGTGTGCTGATGGATCTCGGGGGAAGGCCAACAGCAGTAGTGGTATTGCATTGAGGCGGACAAGGAAGAAAAAAAACATTCATGAAAACATTCATGTAGATACCGCAACACCGAATAGAACGTGAGTACACGAGAGCGGCAACTGCTCAAGTAGATCGTACGTACAAATGAGCGCCACTCCCTTGCTTGTTCACCCTGTGTGGCATGGTGGCAGAGAAGAGCGGTTTCTCTCTGACCGGTCGCTTGGGGCACAAATTCAAAGGAATTTAGGTTGTTGTGTTTGGTATCGGTGAAGGAGAAACACTGGAGTAAAACGCACAGGGATTCATGAAACGTGCCTTGGTACAGCAGTTTTATCAGGTCGTGTTCTCGTTATATTTTTTCTTGATATCCATGCGACACAAAAAAATCCAATTCCGTTCCGTTATTTAGTTGTTTTGAAAGGCACGAGCGCGTCAGCAAGCGACTTGCCCGCATCTACGAGTCAAACAGGGTGATCACGCCGGAGGGCGAGCGTCTGCACAAGTTCTAAATAAAAAAAAAACGAATTTCATGGCAATTCGTTTTTTTTTTATCTAGAACTTGTGCAGACGCTCGCCCTCCGGCGTGGTCACCCTGTTTGACTCGTAGATGCGGGCAAGTCGCTTGCTGACGCGCTCGTGCCGTCCGAGGAAGCCCCTCAGCCACTCCTTCCCCGGGCCCGTGTCGCGGTTCCACGGGATCGGCCGACCGTCGTTGCAGAGCAGTCTCATGCGTTCCGTGAGGTCTGCGGTGCTGAGAGCAATGTAGTTTCTACCAGCGTACAGCAGGAGATCTTCTACCGCATCCTTCTCGGCTTTGGTCATGACAGTCCCGGGGCCAACCCTCGCATCCATGGCGCACACACCGCCCAGGCGCAGCTGCAGGGAGGTTCTACCCACCCTAACGGCAGCAGCAGCGGCCTTCTGTGACATGAGACCGCTGCGGACCGCTTCACACGCCTTCTCAGCGGCTGCCGAGTCCACTCTCTGCGGACCCATGCTTAGCAGCAGAGTCCGAGGAGGCTCAAGATACCCCACATCAAGGGACTGGTGGGCACCTTGCCGTATCTCGTGGCTGCGTGACCCGATCGGCACGCTGAAGTGCTCAAACGAAAGCTAACGGAAAGCTCAACAAAATTCAAAAAAAGAATAGGGGCCGGCAGATTGTGCACCGAGGTATGCAAGTTATAAACAATGTCCCCCTGCCCCTAATGGCGCCCCTAATACCCTTCGTTACTCTCTCTATATATATATATCTTTTTATTTTTCCTCCCTTCATCATTAGACTCTTGTCATCTGCCCCTCTGGCCCCCATCCTCCACTTCTAGCTGGACGACCCAACCGGGGTCACATAGGAGGGGGGGGGGTTGGACCCCCTCCTGGGGTTCCTGCCTGAGATATTTTATCGCGACAAGGGTGCAGCAATCCCTTCCCTCGCGACTCATGTAAGTCGATCAATTTTACCAACAACTAGCTTTGCAGCGCGTCCCTTCCAACGAAGACCAGAATTTAATTAGTAGTGACAAAAAAAACTTACTCCGCCGGGACTCGCGCATGTACATGTCTAGCGGGCGTCGAACAAGTTCGACATTTGCTGCCATGACGTTGGTTCTTCATAAAACGGACGCAATCGCGGTGACGGTGATTTTATGCAAATACGTCTGTCAACACTGGGACCTCCATCAGCAAAGGTAGGTGCAGTAGTTAGTGCTGACGGCTCGACAAAGTCAGTTGTCAGGTGGCCTCAAACTTTATTTTTTGTACATCTTGCGTACGGTTAAGAAGGAAACTGTCCTGTACTGCTGTAGACAGCGTCAGCACAACCCCGGCGGGGTCCAACCACGCGCCACACGAAAGGACAAGTGTGTACCCTGGCTGGTGAAATACCCATGTGGAACACGGAGAGCGCCAGGGTTGTGCATGCACCTACAGCAGCTTTAAGGGGAAAACTAAAGCTCGACCGTCTTCCCTCCTTTTGGGGCGGGTGTGGCAGCCTGCCCCCTTGCCATGAACGCGGATTCATCACACAGCAGCACGTTTTGGTGTTCGGAAGATTCGAAAATCATTCGTCGATACTTCCAGCAGGTGCGGAGGGCAAGCAAACTTCTCCGCTCACGCGATGTGTTGCACGAAAGATGTCGAATATTTAGTCTTCCTTGTTTCTTTAGCCGACATCAGCAATAGCATCACTAATCAACAGGTGTTGTTTATCGTTGTGGGTTGAGCGAATGTATGTTTGCTGCGGTTGCTGCTCTGTGTCCTGGTACGCGTTCGTTGCCAACCGTAATGCTAAAACAGGGCAAATATATGCATACAACTGGTTAATTGAAGTGTCTTGGGGGGAAATTCGAGCTTAGTAACAAGTGCTCATGGTGGCAGGGTTGCCTTCACCCTAAGGTGGATGCATTCTTTGTCAAACCAGCGTTGTACACGTACAACTCAAGAGAGGGAGAAGTCTGCAACATATTCAGTCCCGCGTCCCCGCCGCAAAAAAACTGTGATTTCACTCTGAATGCTGAACCTTTCATGTACTCCCACCTCACTGAAAAAAAAAAAAGGACAAGGCCAAGATACCGAAAAAATGTTCTGTTTGTAGACTGCTGTGTGTACGAAGAGAGGTTGGATTCATCGCAGAACCTCTACTTGGAAATGAATGTGCGCCGGGCGACGCGGGGATCGCTGAACCACGGCCGTGCGCGTGGGGGGAGCGCGCGCTTCCAAAGATCAAAACTTCCATCGGGAGACAAAGGGATTAGGGACTAGTGAGTCGTTATCATCATGCCCGGTCCGCCGCTTGGCATGTGCGTAGGCATGTGCGTAGGGGATTCCCTTCAGGCTTGTTGTATGCATCGGATGTGGTATTTCCGAAAGGGCGAAAAATAGATAGGTTATCGGGCCATGCTAAGAGCAGCCGGTTCGTTTGATGTGGTCCGGAGAAGCAGTGCGAGGGAGGGCGCGGCCTCTCTTTCGCGGGCTGTGTTGAGACTCTCGTATGTGGAAGTGATACCGCGGAAGAAAACATGCGTCATATATATGCGCCGCCGCCCGCCGCCCCCTACGTCTCCTTTCCTCAACTCCTTTTGCCCTCTTCTGGAACAATATATCCTACAGAGAGAGGGCAGGTCACGCGAGAGCAAAAACATAATAAAACCTATAGCGTAGCTGGTAACGAACACGCGCAGCGTTGTCCTCGCCCCGTAGTCCGTACTAAACAGGAGCATGGCATCACTCACAGATCGGCCACGGCATAGCCGCCCTCCTTGGCGGGGAATGTTCGGGTCTTGCAGCGGAGGTCCTGCCCGGACCCGCCGATCCAGATGTACTCGGCCATGATCTTGCCGCCCTGAGGAAGCTTCCTGAACTCGTTGAGTACCTCATCGGAGAGGGCGGTGTGGTTGGAGAATGAGGTGTTCGGCATTTTTGGATGGAGAGAGGGGGAGAGAGATGTAGTTGTCTTGGGTGTGCGACGAGGGGGTGTGAGGTGTGGGGTAAACTGTCGCGTAATGCATGCGCTGATGCGCTGATGCGGGCTATTTATTTGTACAGCGTGCAGGGGAACCCCTATTTTTTACGGAAGTTCCGTTCGCGGATCCCCGGCAGACCATGGGCGAAAGCTGATCAATTTCCTCGGGCCCATCACCATGACACGTGCGTTCGGTGTCTCCATGCAATGATGACCCCTTGACGGCGGGGGAGCCATTACCAGGTGCGCATCTCGCTATGTCTTCACATCATTTTCGTTGCTGATATCAGCCTTCGGAATATGCCGGGGACGTTACGGGGATAAGTCAGCCAACCAACCGCGAGATCTTCGGGGCAGCAAGCAGCCACAGACAGCAGCAGCATGTACACCGCCGCGGGCCTTGGCATCGCTCTGCCCCCTTCGCTGGAAATTACTTACGTATTTACCACCCATCAGTGCGGCGTGCGTAAAAAACGGGTGCACCTATCGCGTTTAGTCTAGACTCTGCAGTCAGTGCATGTAAGATCGTTCTCCGAAGATAGGCAGGATCCACGAACGAACGATATGATCGAGATACGTATTGTGACACCATCGCTGACAGCGCATCTTTCCGCAGTGGCACCAAGCAGCAAAGAAAGCGTTCTCTTAGCACAATAACTGTTGCCACTTCTTTCCCGCCGTGCCTTTGGTGGTGTTCAATTTGATACACAAAACGATTATGACTGCTTCATGAATAATTGTCGCCTACACGAGCGCCGCGGTCTACACGGAACAGCTCCCACCTAGCGCCTCGAAAAACTAAATTCTCGTCAATCCATTTCTCTCGTGTGCGCATCTTTGAACCACGGGTTGTCCGCGAACAAGCGAAAGGAGGCCAACAAGCCCTCTCTTTGGAACGCGAACCCCGACGCCTACCGCCTAACCAAGGCATAACAAAGAACGAATGCTTTACCTCCAAAACTCGCCGAACCTTGTCATGTACCCCACAAAAAAACACTCGCTGAAGCACACCACATACCAGACACAGAGTACAACAGCCTCCGACAAGAGAAGGTACAAAATGGAAGCGAAGATCAGCAGTCAGTGCGCAGGAAGGCAAGATAGAGTACATGGAAGTGCATATCGCTCTCTCTCTCTCTCGTTGCTTCCCGTACAAGACGCAGGCAACAAATGGCGGCACCGCAGCGCGCGCGATTCTCTAGCTGCGTTCCCCCCGCCCGGATCGAACCTCGTGGGACGCAAAAGACTGCCTAAATTTAAACAACAGAGGAGCGGGAAAACAACAACCCGGGGGAGGGGCGGGCGTACAACTACGTCCTCTACGACACAACAAAGGAACAAGAGGTTTCGCTAGCGCGCGCGGGATAACCTTCTGCTGCCGTTTGACCACTCACTACTGCTGTGTAGCCGTCGTGTCCCATGACTGAAGACAGACGCACACACACGTTGACAAAGATTCAAGTAATTCGTCTTCTTTTCTCCTGTTCTTTCATGATGCGGGCGAGAGGGGTCACCAAGGGCCGGGATCGACGGCTTTCGCCTGCCTTCCTGAAGTGCAATAATTTTTTCTACACAGCAGAGTAGCAACCAATAGTCAGTGCGCCTCGCGAGAGAGAGGCTTATCCAATCATCCAGCGCACGGAAGAACGCCCACCAAAACAAAAATTAGAGCCTCCCTAGAGAGGCGCACCGCCGACAGAGTACTGGCAGTAGTCCGCAGCGGCAGCAGCATCTAGTGAGTGCATCGTGGGGAAGCCACAAAATTCCGCAAGGTCAGTCCTCCAACAACGCCTGTTCAGGTCCCTCCGCTGTAAATGCCCTCTCAACTTACCAAACCTACGCGTTCTCTTCCTCCAGACGCCTCCATGCTTTTACACCTTAAACTACGTACTACAAAGCAACAGGAAACTGACAATGGGAACTTCAAAGAAGAAAAGTGTGAATCTACTGCGCTCGTCATCTCGGGCGAGCGCTTGACAAGTACAAACCCCTTCAACAAAGGGCTGTGTTCATGACTGACTTATCGGCCTGAAGGACCCGAAAGTTCCCGCCAAGGTTCGTCTCGACCGTTGTTGCAGATGTCTAGGAGGTGGTGGTCTGTCGACGGCCACGCGACACAACGGCAGAGAGATGGGAGGAGGGAGGAAGACGGGTTACTCAATGTTCTTTCGTTCGAGAGAGACTCAAGTCTCTGGCGTCGATTGGCTTCACGCGGATGGAAATACGTCTTGCCCATCATCTACTTACGACAGCATAACCAGTCTACCTGTTGTAGATGCATAACTAGGGTAAAGAAGTTGCTCTTTCCGTTCGTTTGCTTGTGGAAGACGTTACGAACGTTTCAAAACACTGCCGTATTTTCAAACGTGAGTTATTTCCGGAAGCGGCGAACCGCAAGGCGTGCTACGCCGACATCTCAATCCTTGTGATGAGAGGGCATAGTAGATTGGACACCGCATGCATACGATCAGTGCACCTCTCTGTAGCGCGAGTCGGTCACCAGCGCCCGGATCTAGATGAAAACATAAAACAACTGAAACTAGTTTCCCAAACACTCAAGTACCACATGGTGAAACAGCATAAAACGATCCACTCGAGCCGGCAATTGAGTACCCCGTCCACCCCCGCCTCCCGCCCAGGCCAAGAACCCACCTTGACGATCATGCCGGTCACGACGTAGGGGTCCATGTTGGATGAAGGCCTCCGGTCCTCGAAGTATCCCTTCTGCTCCTTCTCCACGTCGCGGCCGATGCGGATGGACGCCCCGCGGTTGGCGACGCCGTACGAGAACTTGTCCATCGACGCGGTCTCATGGCGGCCGGTCAATCGGCGCTCGTTACCCTGCCATCACCGTGTCGTATGTTTGGCGTGTTGCTGATGTTATTGTTTTGTTGTGGCACACGACGCTTGCTACCCTGTCGTCATCTATGTTGTTGTTTGATGGTAATGTTTGTGATGATAGTTCGAGGAGGCACCAGCGGGGGCAAGGGGACCGAGAGTGCAAGGCAAAAGCGCGGGGGAGTACTGTCCCGGGATGAAAACCCAAAAACCTCGGGAAGCCGAATTCGCTAGGAAGCTTGTCTTGTAATGTACATGCAATGGGTGCACAGAGAGGATGAAAACCTAGCTTATCACGAATACAATTGCCGATCGAGACCCCAAGAAAAACATAAGTCACACATGCTCCTGTACCCTTGTACCTTCAGTAATCAGACGGCCAGTGCGATCGACAAAAAGCTGGCGGTACATAATTGCTCTATAGAGAGAAGATCGACAAAACAAAATGCCCCGAAAAAACAAACAACCAGGGTCACAGATCCATGAAGCAGGGAGGACCAACAGCAAGAGGTCCGAAGAAACAACAACGCACCTCGCCGTAGGCAGCAATGTGCTCGTCGTGCTTCTCGCCGAGCTTCTCGACGGCCGCGATGATCTCCTTGTAGCCGCCCTCCTCGCGCATGGGCTTGGTGGAGTAGTTGGTGTGGCACCCAGCCCCGTTCCAGTCTCCCGGGATGGGCTTGGGGTCGAGGGAGCAGATCACGCCGAACTGCTCGCACACGCGCTGGAGCAGGTAGCGAGAGATCACGAGCTCGTCGCCCCCGGCGATGCCCTCGCACGGGCCCACCTGAGAAAACAGCAGTAGGGAGGGGGAACACCGTGAGTTTGAGGCAAGCGAGATACCACAGTAGGATGCGGCAACAAGAGATCGGGTACCTCAGCATGTGTGAAAAAATACATGGTGCGACGGTGGGTCTTGTTGGTGGACATGTACGCGCCTACCCACCGCGGTTGTCGCTCGGGGAGCAACCTAGCATGGGGTGTCCTACATGCGCTAGATACCACGGGGGAGAGGGGGGGGGGGGGGGGGGNAGTACGGGCCCTGGGGTCCCGGGTATCCGCTCTTAGGCCATCCGAAGGGGGTGACGCCGTCTGCCTCGAACAGGGTGTACTCCTGCTCGATACCGAACCACGGCACCAGGTCCTTCGCCTGGGTCGATGATTGGCCGAAAAATAGTGAAAGATGGGCGGGTGCCAACGTAAATGTAAGACACAAGAGGGTAGTGGAGCAGCACACCACATTAGAGTTGCTGACTGCGCGGCATGACTTCTTCAACCAATATATCGCTCCAGGTTCAGCAGAGACGAGCCGAAAACAATTCGAAGTCAACGTTTTCGATGACGCCTGTAGCGTACTTGCTAGTTTTTTAGTTTTTTACTACGAATCCCGACGATTTTCACTCGACGGGAGAACACAGGGCGGCACGTCCGACTGAACCGAAAAAAACAATTAGTTGTGCCTGCAATCTCATCGTGCACACAGCATTCCAACTCCTCCACCCCCTCCGCCGTCGGTTGAATTCTTCATTCAGAAAGCGTGACTGTAGTTATCATCCCGCTACAAGATAGGCGTCCGTCCAAGGCCGGTCGGTTAGTGCAGCCGATGCAACAACGAAAAAACACGCACACACAAAATGCAAAGCTCACCTTCTCCATGATAGCGGCGCACTCCTTGCGGGTGTTGCTGGGGAGCGGGGTCCCGTTCGGCTCGTAGCAGTCGCACAGCACCATGATGTTGTCGCCTCCGCGGAAGGGGTCGGGGTAGATGGCCTGGGGGTAGATGATCACCTCGGAGTCCTCTCCGGGCGCCTGGCCGGTGGAGGAACCGTCGAAGTTCCACTTGGGCCTGAGGTTTGAGGGAAAACACAAGGCGTACTCAGCACTGTACCGCCTTCGGGAAATTGGCTTTAAATTTTGCGAAAATAGGACAGGGAGGAGGGGGTCCCTACAATAACCCTGACTGCATGCTCGAAAAAAATTAATACGAACACAAGAGAGACTACCGTTCGAGATGAGATAAAGCCTTACCACAGTCGAGACGTGATCGTGGGAGTCTTGTCCACATGGTTACTTTTTTTTTTTCTCCCATGATTGGACTCTGTGGACTGCCCCTCTGGCCCCCATCCTCCACTTCTACTAGCTAGACGACTCAACCGGGGTCACATAGGAAGGGGGCGCTGGACCCCCTCCTGCGGTTCCTGCCTGAGTTATTTTTATCGCGAGAAGGTTGCAGCAATCCTTTCCCTCGCGACTTACGAAGTCGATTATGTTTACTAACAACGAGCTTTGCAGCGCGTTGCTTTCATCCTAGACCAGGATTTATTAAGTGAAAAAAAAAACTCACTCTGCCGGGACTCGAACCCATGACCTGGCCCTTCGCAGGTTACCCGCTACACCACCGGGACGACTATAAAAGCCCAACGTCAGCACCAGATGCGGAGCTACGGAGATCTTGGGGGGGTTCGGGTCCGTGTGTACAAGTAATGTATTTGCAGAAGAGGGCATTCCTCTTTTGCCTGCATGTGCCTGCCCCCTTGTTGATAACCAACGTGCTGTGAGTAAACCTTTCTCTGCAGCCTCTGGCGACAAGCACCCCTCACCGAACATACAGCGGGAGATCAGACTTAGGCACGCATCTACCACTGCTTCGACATATTCGGTGTGTTCATTGAATTTGGCATCGACCGCGAGTGCGTGTGTGCCTCTACACTAATACCGACGCGGGATCACTTGTAACCGGCCGACTGCCAGTACTGCTGTACGACACACAGGTGGTGGTATGGTCGATTTGTATAATTTGCTTCATCGCAAAAGATGAGGATTTCCTGCCGTGGAAATGTGGAATTACCGTCGTCAACCAAAAGCCATATTGGAAACGCCAAAGCTGCCCACTAACAAGTTCGGGGCTCTCATGGCTGGATTTGCGGGGTTCATGTGGATTGATTTACATCGTTGAATATGTAGAAGCCTGCTGTGTTCAAAAGAGTTACTTGTACTTGCACGCGTTTGCTGTATAACATGGAAAGGGAAAGAGTATAATAGCGGCGGGGGTCGTCACCGCATTAAAGTGCCTCACATGGAAATTACGTGACATGAACGGCAACCAAAATCCAAGCTCTCTTGGATACAAAGTGCCAGGTACCCCGTATAGTGTGGGCGAACCTGGGGGGCATATGCCGGAACTACTGACGGACCCCGCTCCCCGTTGGCGGAAGTTCCGGAATATGCGTCACCGGCGAGGTGCACGTCAACATGTTTCCCACGACCTCGGCCTTTTTGGGTTTGGCACCTGCTTGTTCGTCCTACATACATTTCGGGGTATATCCTTATCTGTGTTCTACGACTACTCAGCATGTCGACGGTATTTGTGGACGAATGGAGAAGTATTTTGCTTGAACAACGACGCGTTCCGAAATCCGGCGGGGGGTTACTGCCTCGCTGCTGCTACCTTTGGCTGCTGTGACCGCCTGGGCGCCGGTGGTAGGGGGTTAGACCACATAGCAGCTGCCACGGGCCACGTGTACACTGCACTTCCGACGAGGAAGCGACGACACAACGGGTGCTGGATGGAGAAGATACTTCTGAATCGCGACCGCGTGATTTACGCGTGCGTTTACACAGGAGGGACCTCCTGCAGCTGGATTCGCTGATATCTTCATGTACAAACGCACATGCATATTCACAGCCAATATCGTGCTGCTTGCTGGTTGTTCATGTATGGACTTATGGACTGGCCGCTAACATACGGCAACATCGAGAGGCATTTTCCGATCAGGGACACAACCAGCTCGACTCACAGATCGGCCACGGCGTAGCCGCCCTCCTTGGCGGGGAAGGTTCGGGTCTTGCAGCGGAGGTCCTGCCCGGTGCCGCCGATCCAGATGTACTCGGCCATGATCTTGCCGCCCTGAGGAAGCTTCCTGAACTCGTTGAGTACCTCATCGGAGAGGGCGGTGTGGCTGGAGAACTGGGTGTTCGGCATGTTGCTGCTGCTGTGTGAAAATCTGTCGCGATAGTGGGGTGGGAAGGGCAGGTCGGTTTGTCAGGGGTGTAAGTGCGGTTCCCACAAACTGTAAGAAGCGACGGTAGAAGTTTGATGCATTCTGCTGCGCATGTATGCGCGCCAACGCCTTTGCTACTGGAGAAGCATGCGAAAGAATATAACCAACAGAGTGGCCGACGCACGCACAGCAGCAGATGCATGTACAGCAGCGTCACAGCTCGCTGTCAGGTGCACAAAGAGAGGTGTTAGCAGAGTTCGTTTGTATCTGGGAGCAAAGAACGAGCGACGACAACAACAGCTGTGGTGTCGTGACGTCATGTGGCATCAGTATTCAGTGGCAGTTGCGGTGAAAAACAGCACGTGAAAAGTGGGGATGCCGTCCCATGGAATGAAAGCTCGCACTCTCGACCATGGTAGCAGCGGCGTACTTACAACAGCAGTAGCAGTGTCACGGCAGAAAGTTAATAGGAGCTGCTGTTCGTTAAGAGGAGTAGCTGCTGCAAAGGGGAACAAGGAAGCCACAGCGAATCGGAATGTGCTTCCTCAAACAGAAGGTAACGCGTATTTTCGTGTTCGTGTTGAGGGAGCCTTGAACGCGAACTACGTATTTCGGGCACTGCTGCGCCGTCCTCTCCTCAGCCTTCGGTTCGGAAACGGAGGTGCATGGCGCGCTCCTCGCGGTCACTTATGAATACTGGCCTCTCTTATTCTCTGCCTCCCCTTGTGAAAAAAGAAAACATGCATACAACGGGCGCAAATCATGACCCCACCGCCGTTGCACTTTTCACGCTCCCAACAACGGCATGATCACCTCGTGCACGCACACAGACAAAGCTACTTGCACGCATGAGGTATGTAGAAAACACACTGCCGGTCCTAGCTAGCCCAGGGGCGCGTGTGCTGATGAGAAAGAAGGAGACTCACTTGCTTCTTGTCGGATGTGGAAAAGGCAGGCAAGGGATGTGTGTGTGATGAGGAGGGGAGGGGCCGAGCGCTGCTGCCGCAGGCCACCGGCAACAAAAGGGCGAAAATCAGCGGACCATGTCTTCGCCGTTGAAGTGATGACGTCATCTTGAAACTGCGCCTGAAACTCTGTGAAATCTGCCCAAAATGGTCGAGGACAGAATCCGACCGAAAGGTGCCTGCTTGGTGACGTGGTAACCAACCAAACTGAAGACAACAACAACAACAACAACAACCAACCAAACTGCAGAAGAATGTGCCAAGTTCCGCCGACGGTCGATCGGGCTGCTGCTACCAGCAAGCTGCTACAGATACTTCGATATTTGCGAATTCGGCGAAATCGTGATACTTCGCGCGTGCACGGTACCGGTCGCCCCGGTGGTCTAGTGGGTAGCCTCGCAGCCTGCTAAGGGCCAGGTCATGGGTTCGAGTCCCGGCAGAGTGAGTTTTTTTCTCATTAAATAAATCCTGGTCTAGGATGAAAGCGACGCGCTGGAAAGCTCGTTTGTTAGTAAACCATAATCGACTTCGTAAGTCGCGAGGGAAGGGATTGCTGTATCCTTCTCGCGATAAAAATACCTCGGGCATGAACCGCAGGAGGGGGTCCAACCCCCCCCTCCTTTGTGACTCCGGTTGGGTCGTCTAGCTGGTAGAAGTGGAGAATAGGGGCCAGAGGGGCAGACGACAGAGTCCAATGATGGGAGAAAAACAACAAAACACCCAGAGGGCGGTATACGAGAACTTTGGACACTGCAATTCCACTATACATGCTAATAATAATGAGCAGCAACTACTGCAGTCCTGAAGTTCTCGAGATCAGCGCTGCTCTGCTACGACACAGCACTACATTAAATCATCGCATTATAGCCTCTGCCTTGCGCCGAAACCAGCAGGATGCCCCACTGCTGGCTTTTTTTCGGTGCAAAGATGAGGCGCCGCGTGGTATGCAGTATCGCAGTTTCGAGCCCGCACTTTTTAGGAAATAAACATAAAACCTCGCAGAAAGACTACCCGTATAACAACAGCACTTTTTTTCTCTCTCTCAGATGTAAGACAAACAAAGTGCACGATGTCGAAAGTGCACGTAGATCTCGTCGCTCTGGCACGGCGTGGCCACGAGCAGCGAAGTAATGCCGCAGTTCTCTTTCTCACGGCAATTACTACAGAAAAGAGTCGTCAACGAGGAAGAAGCCCGAGGGAAACACTACCACTCAATTCCACTAGACACTTGTACAAACAACAACAGCAGTATATACCTACTCAATCAAGGGACCTACCGGTGATGATCCAATTTAGAAGTCTAAGACCACAGGTGCGAAGGTGGGATGCACCTACAGATGATTCAACAAACATGCAGTCGTGCATGAGAAGATAGATGTAGTCGATATTTACCTTTCATTTGCCTCATGTTTTCAGATGTAGTCTATGTACCATGATGCCGAACAAACAATCTACAAGAAGACTGCAGTCTGGACTTCTGTGTTTGTTTGCACGTCCAACATGCTCGTCGACGTCTTGCGAAAATAAGTTTTGTGATCGTGACGATCCGCGGTCGAATCCAACCTGTACATTGTATACATGTACTTCGAAGTACTTCTACTACAAATGAACAAATAGTCTAAGAGCTTACGAGATGAGCAAAACGCCATGTGTGTGTGCGGTCTTCCGCTCCTCCCCATTGGTCTGTACGAAACCAAACAGAGCGAGAACCTTGACCTTCCTTTCGGAGCAGATAGAGTTCGTTCTTCGAAGTCTGTTCCTAATCTCAGTCTGGTGTATGTAATTATTCGATTCTGGTATCACGGCGATGAACGGACTTGGAGGCGAATTTCTTTCTACCCACATGTGAATTTTGTTTTAGTATACAATAGACTTTATAGACCAATCTATATGTCCAGGACTTTATAGACTAATCTATATGTCCAGCAGGATTAATGTACCTTGCACGCACCATGCTCAGACCTCGAGAAAAAGATCAGAATTACTCGGTGGTCGCCTTCACCGGCCCTACTCTGTTGCGACCAGTCACAAAAATCAGCAGAGAAAGCACCAAACTGGAGAAAGCTCGAAGAGGGAAAAAAGGGGGGGGTGTACTCAAAGTCGTGCATACCGTAGTCGTTAGACCATTGACCTCGCATCCTTACAATGCCGGGACGGAGCACGCCGGGTTCTCTAAGGACCAGGCTCTCACATCACCAAGCGCGAAGCGCCGTGAGATATCCGGCGAGTCGCATGAAGGGTGCGCTGCATCCTGCGAAGGGTTTTCGGCATCTTGTGCTTACTTCCTTGCGTACGGATGACAGCTGCGTATGACGTATTTGCTGGTGCTCCACTTCCAGAGACAGTTATAAGCACTGTGTAACTGCCTTGAGGGTGCTTGACCATTTTAACACAACGTGGTGCGATCATCCCCCTTGCGCGGAGTAAGGTTCTGGACCCCGCACAACATGATCTACTCGACCACCATTATGGTTACAGTAGCGGCTACGGTTTAAGGGAACTTAAAAGTGCGGATTTAAGAGAGAGGAATTGGCTTGTACCAATCAAAATCGATTTAAGAGAAATTTCCTATTATTGCAGCTGGGATTTTTCTCTTAAATCGAACAATATGGAAACCACGTGGACACACACACATCACGAGAGGGCCTTAGTTCGCCTGAAAGCTTTTCATACTAACAGGATTCGGAGACGGTTTACCTTCGAGCTAGCTCGTTTTCTGTCGATGCGAACTCGCGATGTGTTCAAACGTCATGGGCTACTGATCGACCAACTTCCACCAGGGCCAATCGGTTGGGATCTCTGCGACAACGATAGTGGTGAGAGTAATTCTTTTGGGAGTGACGAAGTCGAAGGAAAGGGAAAGGGGAGAGAGGAGGATGACGACGATGGAGCAGAAAAACATGGAGGAGTGGAAGAGAGGAAAGGGTTTGAGCCAGATGACCTTCCCCACAACAAGAAACGTAGGGCTAGGGAAGAACTGCCCAGAGATTCTTCTTGTCGAAATGAGGATCAGAATGATGGTAGCGAAAACAAGTAGGTAACTGGTGAAAGTACTCCTAAACGAACTCGAGTACTAGGTAATAGCCTTGGTAGACGCGTGCATTTTTCGTCTGTTGCTGCTGTTTCTGTTTTTAATCC